GGACTCAATTGGTATACAAGAAGGCCTACAGCTGAACGAGCGTACGGCAAAAGCCGTACCGATAATTGCTAATCAGCTGGTGGCACTCTATATACCTACCTCAAGAGCTTGCCGTTAATAATGGATTCCATTATTTTGGAGAACAAGGAGGTTTTAGCTACAATCTTTCAACGGTAAATTTCTTAAATAGTTGTAACTTACATAGATTTTATGTTTAATTTATTGATTTTAGCTTGAATAAAAAACACTCATCGTAGTTTTTATTTTATCTAAGTATAATGATGTTTGAATTAAAAACAATAAATACATATGTTAAATGAACCTTCACTATAATTTCAATGGATAAATCTAATTAAAAACACAATATAATATAAATTCCCTAGCCCTGTTTTTGGAGACTGAGATTCGGCAAAAGAGTTACAACAATACTGTCTCGTATGCGAATGGGTCACGTCTACTGCTACACCCCAGCTCATCTTACTAAGCTAAATTTTAATGACAGGCGACAGCCCTACGTGCGATTGCGGATATGATGAAGGTGATTTAAATCACATCATGTTTATTTGTTCTCGGCGCGACCGGTCGGCTCTTCTCGAAGGTCTCATTTCCCTTCAAATTCCTTTCCCTTCATCCATATCCTGTATACTCTGTCAACATTGGACCCACATGTATATAAACTTTTAGCAGCTTTTATCTTAAGTAATGATATAAAAATTTAAAATATATTAACGTAAATATAAATATATGTAAATATCTTTTCTTACACTCCTATTTTATCTAGCTCTATAAGAATTGATATTTCATTATATAGAGTAATTATTTTCCATTAGTAAATTCCGTTCCATCAGATAATTTTATTTTTTACCCGTTTCCCTGTTTTGACCCTGGGCCACAATGCACAAAACGTGCGGGCCATAAAAAAAAGGTGCGTGTATAGGACTTATGTACGCGCGTAAGAAGATGTTATACTTCTTTGGCATTATTAAAAATAGTTTTTGATTGCATGCAAATAATTAATTACAATTAAATAATCAAAGACTGGAATAGGAGTCATTATAGTCAATAAAGTTCAGTTTACATTTGAAAAATTAAATAAATAAATATTTTTTAATATTATATTTATTATTATTTTCTAATATTAATAAGTAAGTATTGATTTATATATTCAATTGAAATCACTTCTGATTATAATTCAGACGCACATATAAAATTCGCACTTGTATAATGAAAACAAAATGAAAACACGTGTTTTAAATGTAGAAACTCAAAGCATGTGGATAAATATTATAAAATATATAAATACACAGTGAACAGAGGCGGCGTGCGTGCCAACATGCGCCACTAACAGAGGTTCCATTTCTGTTTTGTTGATAGCATTTTTTCCTCAACTTAATGAGCGATGTAGTGGGCAACTTCATTCTGTTAATTTTGTGACACGGTGCGCGCGCATCGTAAAATTTCACTCTCATTAATTTTTCATAACGCGCCTAAAGAAGTATAACTTCAAAAAGATTTAATATGTTTAATATGTACATTTTTAACCAGCTTATCTCTTTGTTTCCTTTTGATGTCTTTGTGTATTTTTCTCGCGTGTAGTTTCCCTACCTTTTACTTGAAGCTGGCATAAAGTTAAAACTATAGCCACAAAAAAAAATATTTTAGAATTATTATTTATTAGTGTTTAGGTGTGTTCTATAGGGACTTCATAGCCTAGCGGTCTTATTAAGTAGCAGCTAGGTGAGGGGTACCGGGTTCGATTCCCGGTTCGAGGGCAAGTTTTAATTTAAATTAGTTCTCTTTGGGAGGGTTGTGCGGTACCGGGCGAGTGCTTAAACCGTACATGGAGGACACGGTCGAATTTCTAAAGACAAGCACGAATTATAAAAAAATCCTATACTTGACGCTGGCTAATGCACAAATCGTGCCAGAGCCATTAAAAAAAAGGTGTGTTCTAGTACCTGACATGAGACATCTGACAATTCACACGGTTCCTGCTCAGATTACTATTTTTGTGTAGTAATTAGTAAATACTAAATAAGTAAACGAATTCTATGTTTTAAAGACCATTTATTATTGGAAATATATTTTAGCAATGTGTAATTTCTTTGTAGTTAACACCATTCATTACAATCGTGAATCGAATGTCTGAAACTTAAGATAAATTATCTTATTAGTTGACGATAAATGATGCCGGGAAAAATGAGGAAAGTGTAAGTGTATGTAAAAGATTATTTTGTGTCCAAATATAACCCAATTACTGAGTATAATAGGATAAATAGAAAAAGTGTGGATTTTCACAATATTCAATATAATGTATTTACTTTGTGTAGAGAGAGTTCAAGATTCCACACATTATTTATATAGCCTAGATTTATAACTTATAAGAAAATATTGGTCCATTTTATTTCAGATCACTAAATATTCCATTCTCTACGAATGCTCATGCTCAAATTGCATATGATGTCATTAATGTTGACAAAGAACTAAAAAGTGTGTTGAGAAGTTTAACTGTTGAAGATACTAATCTTATTATGTGAGTATATTACTTTTTCTTATTTTTTTACTTACTACTGTTATATTGAAAAGAAATTAAATAAATTATTTCTAATTCTTAATAATGTGTGTGTACAAAAGTGGAAAGTTTTATAGTTATAGTTAATGACTAAACAGGTTCTTCTTTAGGTACATACATTTAGCAAGGAATAAAGGTGACTTTTAAGAATATCGAAGTTTCTATTATAAATTATGTTTTTCAGAAATTTTGAAGGAGACAACTACAAATTTTTAAGGCTTTCAGTGAATGGATTGCTCCAAAATTTAAGTTTAGTTACCAAAACTATAAGTTTGTTTAGCTTGTAAGAACTAAGAATTAAAAAACATGCCAGAACATACACCAGCTCCCAGTCCAGCGCGATCAGTTTATGGCTTTTCAATGTATTTGTTTAGTAAAACAGTGCTTTCAGTGTATTTGATATGGGCCATAGTTCCTAATGAGTATTTTCATTACATGTATATTTATTATATACCACAAAAATTTTGGTCAACAGCTGTACCCATACAATGTTTAGTTGCATTGACATTATTTGCTTTTCTGATCTATCCCAGTTCTAATCTCATGTTAGCATTAACATGTGATAGTATAAACTCTATTTGGGATAAGTTTAGTTGTAAAAGTAATAAAATTGACAAATATCAGAGTTCTATTCGGCCTGTTTGTATTTGTAAGACAAATGAAAAATGTAAAAAAAATTTTTTTCTACAACACCTAAAGATTTAGATGAAAATACTGTACCACAATTGTACGATTTAGATATACGTTATGTTTGTAAGAAGTTGTATTTGAATAGAAATAAAAATATTTAAATGTTATGTCTTTTAGTTTCCTTATACCATACAGGAAACATCTGGTATGACAACACCAGTATATATAGTTTCTATTGCTATTTACTGTGATTGGTATACATGGAAAGGTATAGGGAATAGGATTTAAATATAAAAACTGTGGTACAATGGGCATGATAAGTAAATAATTAAACTGGTCATAACTTTATATGTACTGTTTTCGTAAAAGAACCAGTTGCAGCCTGGCCATGTCATTGAAATTTTAACTTTTAGCATAATACATATAATAATAATAATACATGTATTAAACCTGATACAATACTAACAATTTTTTTTGTTAAAACCAATTTTATAATATCTGATAGATATTATTCTAAGAATAAAACTATAATCTGGATCTCAATGTTAATATATTTTATAAGGATAAAACAACACTTCCCATGATTAGTACAAAATGAAATAAAATACATTGTTAGTTTTTACATAGGAAAGATTTAGTTAAAAGACTTAAAAATGAATTTTTAACTACTATATAAGGCTTAAAAATTGAGATAAACTTTGAATACTTTGACTGAAATTATGTAAGCCACTTTTAGTATTCACAATGTCAAACTTATAGCATCAAGAATATTATTGGCTGACCAAAAGAGATTTTCCAACAGTGCATAGGTCATTAAACCTTAGTATTTATTAAGTGAAATATGAAATAGAAGCTGTAAGAAAATCTGCAGTTAGACTAGCCGCTACATCTTATAATGTATACCAATATATTATGACTAAGACTTTAACATGAGATGTTCCAGCATACAAGTTCCACTGCTCACATGCTGCAAATATTCAGCATACACCCAAATATAAATTATTAAAGTATATTTTAGATAGTAATTTTTATATATTTTGTACAATAAAATACAGTTAAGTACAACTTGTAGCAAAGATATTAAAGAGAGTAATATTTATCTAAAGTGTTAAAGCTAACGTGTGTGTACGCTCGAGGCATATTTACACATCACACACGCATGGCAACAACACACCATGTGCTCAACACTATAGTACATAATAATTATTTTATTACTTAAATATAGAATAAAAGGACATGCCAAAGCTGAACTTCACCACTTTACAATAATTTCAATGCATGATTAGCCAATGAACATGCCTGTACTCAACTAGCAAATTGCTGATAAATAATACATTGATCGCTTAATATCACAGCTAATTATGCTTTGAAAATTATAGACTTGTCTAATTTTCACTAATGTAGTGTTAAGAAGAAAATTTGAATAAATTTATATTACAATATCATGTCTTTTCATATGAAAATTTTAAATTACATTACCAAAAATTAAACAGTGCATTGCATTATAAATAAATGTGCATTCTTATTATTTAATTGACTAAACAAATTTGTTGCCTGCAGATCTGTTATAATATTTTAAATATCGAAAGTTAATATCTTATAAGAGAAATTTTAATTTTATCTATAGAAAAAAAGTTAAATCCAAATTTTAAAACATTTAGTATGACAAATCCCTTCGAATCCACCTTGTTTTCATAAAAATCATTCCAAAGATTAAGTCTCCATAACACATTTCACCAGCACTCCTTATTTGGGACAAATTATGAGTAAGGATTGAAGAGAAGTATCAACAAGCACTTCACGAGTGTGCATTGCTGTTAACATGTGGCTTCTTTTCTTGAGTATCCGGTGTGCGTTGGCCATCACGCCTTGGAGGCATGCGCTCATTAATGGCATCCAAGCCTTTGGCCTCAGCAAAAGAGGTGATCTTATGATTTGGTGAAAAGCCCTGCAGTGCATTCTTAAGTGACGTTTTACCTCCAGAAAGGGCACCCAAGGGTAATGCACCAGTGGGTGTTAGTCCTTTAAGTTGCAAAACAGACTCACTCTCTTCCCGTAGCACAGAGAATACATGAGCCATCTTACCAATGGCTCTTATCTTATTGCGAATGACCTCTTTCCTGAGATTAGCTTCCTCCAAAGCATCTTCACCTTCCGTCATCAGCTCATCATCAGAACAAATATTTAATACATTAACCAACATTTCAGTCACTTTCTCACCAACAAAGGGAAGTGACCATGTAAAGACATCCATGAAGTTTGGTAACCAGTAAGGATGGGGTGAGCAGTTAAATTGCCTGATGTTCATAACATTATTTTCATATTTAAGAACTGCAGCCTTGTTGTTGTATACATCCAAATAGTTAGGAGCTGAGAAAATAGTGATAAGACTGGGGAATCCAGTTGTTTGACTTTTACGATACATTCGATATCCTGCATCTTGTGCTTCATGAGCTCGAATAATAGATAATAAATTATTTCTTTGAAGAAAATCACAACATGCAGCATAGCTGTAGAAGTAAGAACAGCCTCTTACAGAGTTGTGTGAGAAATGTTCTGCATTTTTCTCATTACCAAAATCTTCCAATGGATCTGACCACAGTAGATCACACATAGCTCCATATGCCGGAGGCTCTTTGAATCTATCTAGTTTACGAATATCATCTAAACTGCTTATTTCTGGAGATAGACCCCCATGGACACACAGGAACTGCTGGTTCATAAGTGCAGCCAAAGGTAGGCAATCAAAAGCATCCATACATGCATCATATACTTTTTCAGAGTATTTGATCTTGCATTCTTGTTTGAAGGTAAAATATTCTGTTAAGTGTCGGCATTCGTGATTACCGCGTAATAGAAATAAGGTCTTCGGATAGCAAATTTTCAAAGCCCACAGGTAGAGTACACATTCTATACTGAAGTAACCTCTGTCAACATAATCACCTAAGAATAAATACTTGGTGCATGAAGGAGAACCTCCAACTTCGAACAATTTCATCAAATCGTAAAACTGCCCATGGACGTCTCCACATACGGTGACCGGGGAATCAATTTCGATCATGGTTTTTTCTGAACGAAGAAGGGTGGCACCATCTTGGATAATTCGTAGAGCCGCATTTTCCTCAATCCGGCCTTCTAAAATAAAATGTTGCTTAAGTACATCTGGAAGAGGTTTGCCCGTTTTCTCATCGAATACTTCTGATACGGTGAGCTTATGGCTGGGAGGGAAAGCTACACTTTGGATCATTCGCTGCGTAGTCGAAACTTTTTCATTATTGTCACACATATTGTTGAAGTAAGAACAATTCCATAAACGCCACTATTTTCGAAATTAAAAATGGCAGATGAGAAATTAAATCCGTATTTCACAGGAGGCGAGAGAATAGTTTACTACTGCGCACTGGAAAACAATGCGCAAACTTCTGGCGAGTGGTCAATAAAAGAAACAGGGATATCGAGCGCGTTTTCACTGTATCACTGAATTCACTGAAATTAGAAATAGTAACTGGTAACATTAGTAGGGCAGCAGGGTGACCATCTGGAAAACAGGCAACCTACCATGTATTCGTTAAAAATTGGCTTGTGGGAGCTAATCTGCTTTCGCTTATTTTTTGGTATAAATTGTCGTTTGATTTGCGTTACGTAATGTCACCGACGCTTGATTCGCATTTCGCAGTATATTATCGAATGATTATTGATGGAACTTAAAAGATATTAGCTTCCGAATAAATTTATATAAATTCGCTATCTGCGCCTCCTATAATTCAGGTAACAATACTGCTCAAATTTTTGCCATTAATGCTATTGGTTACGGTAGGGTTTACGTTTTAAATATTATAGTAAAAGATAGCATGGTTGCTGTTTTCCTACTTAATATGTAAAAATGTCTATGTGTGTGTATCTATCGTTTTAGGTTCATGAATATGATGTGATATTAAGTTATAAGTTAACATAACACAACATAAAACACGTTAAGCATTTCGTTTGAATTAATAGCTAAATTCATGAGGTCTATATTATATTTCCTCGGCAGCGCCCGCTGTCAAATGGGTCAATCTTCGTCACTTGACTTCACTTATCACTAGGCGGCAGGCCTCCCCACAGGGCACAGTCTACACCTCGCACACGCTATTGGTTCGTTAGATGGTACATACATCTATCGTGAATCGTCATCTAACCACCATTTTTTTGTACAACTGATAAAATATTTTTTTTCTAGTTTTTATAATGGCCTCGCAGTTATATATAAAATATTATTAGGTGTAATTTGCAACGACTATAAGACAGATTCAGGCATGCGGATTATAATAAAAATTCTTAATTTTATTACAGATTACTGAAATCTGAAAAATAAAATGACAAAAATTGCCAAAATGGCAGAACAAATGTACCTAGAGCAACTAGCAAATTATTAAATTATAACGTGTTGACCAAAGTGAAGTGATGATTCGTTTTATATTTAATTACTATAATCACCATTATCGGATTTCGACTGTAATGGTTTATTTGCAGACAGGTAAACGATATCTTCAATAATACATACTTATATTATAATCATATATTGTATTAATTGTAAATAAATATTTTAGAGATGGTTGTCAGCAAACATTCACTTCAATAAGATAGTGGCATAGTGGATTTAAAAACTAGCACAAATACAGTCTAGACATTATGGCCACTGAAACCTTAATAACAGTCACCATGGCAGATAAATTTTGCTTTCTCGGCTTCGAAAAATATTGTTTTTGTTATTCGTTACTAGAATGACATCTGCAGTATGTATATTAAATGCCACAGAAATCCCTAAGTTTTACGATTTCTACCGAACTTTAATCAATGGCATTTATTACTACAGGAACTAGAGACCTATTTTTCACGTATTAAAAAGTGTATGTTCATGATAACCGCTATGTTTATTCTCATTACGCTTTGCACCATCCAACGCAATGAATTATTTTTATCTTTAGCGACTATTTTTAACTCTAGGGTAATAATTGCTTTGATAAACCGTCGTTAAATATACTTTAACTACCTAGTAACCGAACGAATTATCTCGTTTGTTTTAGCTCATTATTAAACAAGACAGAGCTATGCCCCACATAATACACTAGTGCTCGTTAACGTGGGGCCGTAGGTGATGTAATCATTTGACTAAAATCCATTTATATATTGTCTTGTTTAAAGGTCTTTCAAAAGTATAAGAATTTTATTTTAATATGCCTAAGTATAAAAAATTGCCTTCGTGGTTGGGTTGATATAAGAGTGCAAGCTTGAGATCCTGGCGTGAAATTACGGTATGATAATATTTTCGATTATGTAGTTTAGGTACATAATTACACTAGAAAAATAACCACTGTATAGACGCTATAGGGTTAAGGGACTTCAAACAATACTGTATATATATATTGGTAAAAATAATATATAAAATCTTAAAATATTACAATAACTTTTAATTACATTACAATTCATAATATTACATTGAAATAAAATTAACAACATTACAATATAAACTGTATTTCTAGAAACATAAGTAGGTGTGTACAACAGATTCCCGTTGATCATCTGTAGCTGTAAGTGTGAAGTACATCTGAACATTGTATTAACTAAATCGTAATACCTACGGTCAGTTCACAGTCACTGCTGAATCGACCGTTTTGTATTTCGGCTTACTGTGGGTGAACGGCAAGTAACGATATTTCATCATATGCTGAAACAATAATGAATATAAATTAAGCAGATGAATGACAAACAACTTTTTAAGGGTCTTAATTTATTTTTTGAACATGGCTAAATACTATTTGTTATTTAGTTCGCGATGAATAAGACGTAAGTTTATTAACAAAATCAGGTTCTAAGTTCATATAAGCATTACCTTGTACCTAAACGATGTTGTATTAAATGACAGAAAAAAATACCTCTTGGGAGTGGCAACAATCTCACATACTTTCTGAGAAAAAGTATTTTGTCTATGCCTTCTTAGAAATCTTTTGGGGCATTGACATTGGCCTATTTTACATTTATTTGGCCGTCAAAGCCGCGTCCGAGGCTAAAGGGCTCACGACATTAGGGAATGTAAGTATGTACAAGAAATAGTTTATTATAAAATAAATAAAAATACTTGGACCAAGAGCCCGTTTATCCTAACAATGACACTACATTTTATTTATGGACATTAGTTATGTTAAATAGAGCATACCTTAATTTGCCTCTTCATTGTAATGCAGAATAAAGTTATGAAATACATCACCAATATAGGCCAGAATACTGGTATATTGAATGCATCAATAAAGGTGCAGAAAAACGCAAATATAGTACTTTTAGTTACAGATAACCAAAATTTAAACTCTGGCAATCTTCGAATAAAGGGTCGGAATTCTTCAGTTGATCTAGTTGGTAATGCCGGGCCATTTTCATCATCACCTGTAAATCAAAATAAATTATTAATAAAAAAAACAAATACTTCAAATGTAATAGTTTTAGTATGGTTTCAATATTAAAGTTTAACATTTAAAAAAATGTGGTCCTTGCACACTATTATTTATTTAATGGTTAAATATTGTATTAAATTTACTAAGTATGTTGATCGTCAGGCATAGCCAATAAAACTCTTAAAAGTAACTAGCTCCTGCTTTCAAATCTGTCTGTAGTTATTGATATATCTTATAAGTTTAACTGAAATTCCATCTATCTATGCATCTATACCTATCAGCATTACTTACATACTTGCAATTTAGCATTTACAAGAATATACAATTATACATATATTCAAATAGTAGTTTGTTAATTAAACTTTAATTTCTTTCTACAATGTTTTAAATAAACCTCAATTAATGTTTATAAAGTGCATAAATTTTTTATAAGTGACATTTGATCGACAAAAATTACATTAGGTAATTTTGTATGTAAAATTATTACAAATAAACTCAAATACTTCTTTCACTATTAAATAAATAAATCAGTGGCACTACAACCTCTTTAGGTCTAGGCCTCAGATTTCTGAATCTGTTTCATGATCATTTTTAAATCTAATAGGCGTATAAGTAATCTAAGTAGGTGATCAGCCTCCTGTGCCTGACACACACCGTCGACTTTTTGGGTCTAAGACATGTCGGTTTCCTCACGATGTTTTCCTTCACCGTTCGAGCGAATGTTAAATGCGCACATAAAAATAAATACCATTGGTGCACAGCCGGGAATGGAACCTACGACCTCAGGGATGAGAGTCGCACGCTGAAGCCACTAGGCCAACACTAAAAGATTTTTTTTAAAATATGATCCGGGATTTAATTAAAGAAAGTTTATGCTATATTCCTAATATACTCATATTGATTTCTACGTCCCAACTATGGCACAATGTACAGTTGTTAATGGTTTTCAGACCAGTGAATGTGCAATTAAACCGCAATTTTAGTTACTCAAAACATGGATATAAATTTTTATATGTCGTCACTGTAGAATGATAACCTTGTATGTCAAAAAACCATTTATTTTTTATTCTTAGACTCTTATGTCATTTAACTGGTATAATCATGAAGTAATCCTTTTAACCATCTAAACTATGGAAAAAAACACATAATAATATTTTAAGGAACATTGACAGAATGAAACATATTTTTCATTTTCTGAGATGTTTGGTTCTCTGGACATACAAGGTTATCATTCTACAGCGACTATGTTTCGTAAAATAATCAAATTCCTTTTTCAAATATATATGACTTTATTTTTCAGATGACTTTAAAATAAATAGATTTAAAAAAAATCAACAATCAAAATGGATAATGGATTTATTCTCATAAAGATTTGCTTCATTCTTATTAATGCATAATTATTTCTATGTCCAACTATGGCACAAGTGCCAAGTGCCATTATGTAAAAACAAGACAGACAAGACAAACTTAAAACAAGGATAAATTTCTTATTATTATTAAATTCCTAGTTGTATAAATAAATTACTCTTTAATTTTTTAATTTGGTTATTCATAAATCTTACTTTCACACCATTGAGTACGATATATTTGACACTAGATTTGCATAGAATTAAATACAATAATAACTGAGGGTCAATAACCTAAACTGATAAAATTATCAGTGACTGCCACCAACTCATTGAAATATACTAAATTACATACTACAGAAAAATTACTTAGTCATGATACCTTTGGCATATTTTGCTATTAAATAAACTTAATATTGAAGGTAATAACAACTTTACACCTACCATCAAAATCCATAGCAGGATCAATCTTTGGTGTCAGGAATGCAATAAATAAATTTAAATGATATATTCCTAAAGCATATGTAACAATATACCATCCCTGAAATTTAAAAAAACAGGTATATAAACAGACAGTTGAAATTATTATATAAGTTTAAAAGTAGCAACCACACAATCATATTGGCATTAAACAACCAAATAATTATATACATTGAGTAACAACAATTTGTTTCATGGTAATAACATAAGTTGCCATTGAAGAGATGGGGGGTTGATTTGTTCAGTTTAATTTTGCTCTTAGCTATCATAGCATATAAATCTACTGGAATCTGTAATACATAGTTGATAATAAGTAATATGCCTTTAACTTAAATAGAGTTGAGTGTAAACTACTTACTTGTTTTAAAAATACTCTGAGGACAAATAATAATACCAGTAACAAAGCTACTGCCCATCTGCTTTTCGAATGAGGTGTCCATTTATCTAATAACCCTTGATATATCTGCAATGCGATTAGACGTAAACTACATTTTAGTTAAGAAATACGAATTTTAAGAGTATAATATAAAATAAATATGTGAACATTGACATCAGCGTAACAGAATTTATGAAACGAATTAAAGACAATTTATAAACCTGTGAAATACGTGTCCATCCTTGTGATACAAAACCTCTTCTGGTATCAGAACTTAAATCACTACCGTCCATCATATTTTGATTTCGAACTTATGTGTAACTGTAATCACATTAGTTCCTAATATCTGCTTTTAATTGTTATATGTTACATTTATAGGGGCACATTAAATTGAATACATAATTATTCGCCTACAAATTCAGGACATTACAAATACGAATTTTATACTTCAATTAGTATTCAGCAGATAAATTACATGGCATTACAGACTACAGTAAACTATAGAGAACAATAAGTACACAGAAGTAAAAATAAGCATGATATGCACACAGCCCAAAATGCTCGAACATACACTCGAATATTAATGTTAATGCTCTAGCACAAGAGCTTCATGTTCTATTATTTATACTTGTTGTTTTTTTGCTTTAAAATATTTCTGTGTCTGTTTCGACTAATTACAACATTATATTTGTGAAATTGCGTACAATATATTGCAACTTATGGGATGTGCTATCTTGAAATAAATCACAACCCATTTTTATCTTTGTTTATTGGTTTATTCTTCACAAACAAGAGTAATTAATTTATATTCACATAGAAACGCTCAAGGAAGAAAAACATATATATATATATATTCACTTGTCTTCAAAGTCCGTCTGAGTGACGTCTGTTTTCTTCTTTCCTTAGTGTCCTATCTTTATGTTAACACATACATCAAAATCCTAGAGAAAATACTACACAAAAGAGTATGTACATTTTTAGTGCGTATCTACGATTCGCTACACCACCCCCCTACGGACACAGAAAAACTAAGGCGAAAAATTATAGTATATAACAATAAAATAAAAATAAAAAACTTAAAATATTTGACATTACAAAGAAAAACTTAAGATTTACAAATCTAACCTAGTCTTAAATCTAACCGTTCTGCCTGACCTGGTAACAACAGGATTAGGGGCAGAAACGGGAGGAATATTTTCCACAGTAGGCGAGAGTAATGACGGCGACGCAGGGCCAGCGGGTACAAGGCTAGGTGTGCGAGCTGAAGGAAAAACAAACTGCTCGACGAACGCTGGTTTAACGCGATCCACACTTACAGTTACGTGTCTGATATCAGTCGTGAATTGCGAAATAAATGAAAGCTGGTTGAGCTGTGCGGGAGCCAATTTCTCTCGACGCTGTACGAAAGCGTACAGCAATGGTTTGTGGTCTGTAAAAATGCTTGCATGTTGCACCTCGAGAATGTGACGGAAATGCTGTACACTTTCGTACACCGCCAGAAGTTCGCGATGGTAGGCAGGCCACTGCGACTGATTGGGAGTCAGTTTCTTGCTGAAAAATGACAGAGGGCACCATTGTCCATTGATCAACTGCTGTAAACAGGCGCCGATGTGCATGCTAGAAGCATCTGTAAAAAGACCCAAAGGTGCATCATTTACTGGATGTGTAAGTAGCGTGGCGTCTGATAAACTTTTCTTGCAGTCTTCGAAAACTCTCAACAGCTCGGGCGTCCATGGATACGGTTTGGAGCCTTTGCCATTGATCTCGACTAAAGTGTCTACTAACTGCGCTTGAAACTTGGCGGCATGAGGGATGAAACGGCGATAAAAATTAATCATACCGAGAAAACGCCTCACGCCTTGCACGGTGTCAGGAGGGGGAAAATCTAATAGCTTTTGAACGCGGTCCAGAGGAGGCCGCGTACCATTAGCGTTAATGAGATATCCGAGAAATACAACCTCGCTGGCACCAAGAATGCACTTAGATGGATTGATCACCACCCCGTAATCTTGTAGGCGCTTAAAAAAGGACGCGCAGATGCTCTCTGTGGCTGCTCTCGTCCACTGAAAAAACAAGCACATCATCGATATAAGGAAAGCAGAAATCGAGACCCCGCGTGACCTCGTCGATAAAACGCTGGAAGGTTTGGCCAGCATTGCGCAGCCCAAAGGTCATGAAAGGAAACTCGAAGAGGCCAGCGGGGTAACGATGGCGGTCTTCGCGATATCTTCTTCAAAAACGGGAATTTGATGGTAGGCTTTCACTGAGTCAATAGTGCTGAAAATAGTAGCTCCAGCGAGGCTGCAGGCGAAATCATTGATATGACGAACGGGGTATCTATCTGGTATGGTCCTAGCGTTTAATGCGCGATAATCGCCACAAGGACGCCATGTGTTGTCTTTTTTGGGTGTCATGTGCAATGGTGACGACCAAGCGCTTTTAGAGGGTCTTGCTGTGCCGCATCGAACCATGTCTTCAAATTCTTTTTGGCAGCAGTAAGTTTTTGAGGTGCCAGGCGACGGGGACGACACGACACAGGAGGACCATCAATAGTTTTAATATAATGCACGGTGCTGTGCTTGATGATTCTAGGTAGACCAGGTGGACGCGTGACATCAGGAAACTCAGTAAGTATGTGTGTTAAACTAGAGTTATTAGAAATAACGGTCTTGACACTGGATTGACTGGAGGATGCAATGGAAGTAGGGATAGATAACCCAGTGCTACCATCTAAGAGACGTTTGCTTCGGCAGTCCGGTAATAAATTGTAATGACTTAAAAAATCGGAGCCGATAATCGGTGTGTCAACATCCGCAATAACAAAATTCCAGTGGAAATCCCTGCGCAAACCTAGGTTAAGATGCAAAGATATGTTGCCATAGGTTTTAATAGAACTCCCATTCGCAGCGCTTAGATCAAAATCTGCAGAAGCACGACGGTTTTTTGCAAGACGCTTAGGGAAACAACAGAGATCCGAGCCAGTATCCACTAGATACTGGAGTTTCGAATGTTTATCTGTAACAAAAATACGGCGGCTTTGATGAGAACAATCAGTCGCCGCGTCTACTGACTGTGTTTCCTGTTTTCCGACGGCGAGGTGTCGGGTTGCCAGTTGCAGGGTTTGGTACATTTGGTTGCCCTGCTATTGAACCTTCTATGGTACCAACACATATCTTGATTTCTAGGTGAGGCACCGTGAGAACGCTGTCTAAATATTGATTTGCTGCGTGAGCGACCGCGAGGATGCGAGTTGGTAAGAGATGCAACTTGCTTGCTTAAATCTTCCACTGTCTTTACTAAAGAATCCAGTACCGATGGTGCAGGTGCTGGCATCGCACAGGAGTACACCTGGTGGCTGGGTCCTGATATCTCTGTGATCTTGTCTGCGAGGTCTGCTATTTTGTCCAGACTCAGTTCAGTTTGCGAAGCTAAAATAGCCTGAATATTTTGAGGAAGACGGCGCATCCAAAGCTGGCGCAAAATATTTTCATCTGTAAGGGTGTTACCCGCTAACGAACGCAGATGACGCAGAAACTGCGATGGTCGCCTGTCTCCAAGCTCCTCTACACTAATAAGCTGGCGTACCCGCTGTTCCTCTGACATTGAAAGACGCCGTACTAACTCATCTTTTACCTTTTTATACCGTTGGCCTATGGGTGGGGGTCTGGTAATGATATCCTCAATCTCTATTTTGACCGGATTGAAGTTATGTATTATTATAAATTTACAACTATTTAACACCACTCACCGTGACCACGCACGCTGTAAAGCACGCGAAACGTCGGATAAATTTAAAATTATGTTAAATAGTTGTAAATTTATAATAATACATACTTTCAATCCGGTCAAAATAGTGTTTTATTAAATGAATAAATATATAATAAAAGTTATGTTAATCAAAGACAATACTATCCTCAATCTCTCTTGGTCTAATCTACCTATTACATAATTATATTTGGTATTATCACCAACAATACCCGCTATATCAAACTGAGCTTCCACCTGCCCAAACCATACCGCTGGTTTGTCAGGCCAGAAAGGTGGTAACTTGACAGCTACCTTGCACACCGCTTGCTCTTCAGACTTGGGTGTTGATTCTGATGTAGATCCAATATCAGTCAGTTTCTGCTGAAGAGCTGCATTCTCCAGTGTCAGCTGTTGTAATCGCTGTTCTAATTCCCTATCAGCCATTATACCACACGACCAAGCAAGATGAAATAATAAATAAAATAAAAAATAAAAACTAAGTCAAAAAAATTTGGTAGCTGTGAGAGAGGTGCAGTGGCAGATCACACGGTTAGTATACAGGTAAGCTAAACTGTAAACATATAAGTTGTCATATCAAATAGATATAAATATAACAAATAACAATATATGCACAATAATATAGTTGAAGCGTTTTGTAAATGCGACAAATGACTCGTGAAAGGAAAAACCATCCAGACGATCGCGCTGCTGGCGCACCTGGCCCTGGAGCGACACGATTGGGGGCCGCACCTCGTCGTTGCGCCCTCGTCGCTCGTGCTCAACTGGGAGTGCGAGTCCAAAAAGTGGTGTCCGAGCTGTTATGAATTATGAAGGTTGCGTGTTCATATCACGTCGGAAACTTCAAATCACATCGGAAACTTCACATCACGTCGGAAACTTCATATCACGTCGGAAACTTCACATCACGTCGGGGTCACCAATTATGGGATGTGCTATCTTGAAATAAATCACAACCCATTTTTATCTTTGTTAATTGGTTTATTCTTCACAAACAAGAGTAATTAATTTATATTCACATAGAAACGCTCAAGGAAGAAAAACATATATATATATATATATATTCACTTGTCTTCAAAGTCCGTCTGAGTGACGTCTGTTTTCTTCTTTCCTTAGTGTCCTCTTTATCTTTATGTTAACACATACATCAAAATCCTAGAGAAAATACTACACAAAAGAGTATGTACATTTTTAGTGCGTATCTACGATTCGCTACAAACTCAATTACGAAGACTTTCCACAGAACAGGCTTTCCTTTTTTTATTTTTATTGTTGGGAAATCAATTTACTGACCCCCGCGCCGGGGCAATTATTTAAAAGTGACGCAGGGAGTGTGAGAGTCAGTCCGTATAGTGCAATGGACACAAACCCAACAGCCTCATCTGTTCACTATGGACGGGAGGTGCGGTAACATTTTCCCTTAGTCCGTGCATCCGTCATAAGCGTCTGCTGTGTGAGCCCAACTTCTGAGTTGCCCAATTCTGTTCTAAGGTCACAGTGGAGTATGTGCGTAATCGGGTCGTCTTCTTCCAGGCCTTTTTTTGCGTTGAGGGTCGGCGTCTGGGTTAAACACCCGAACCCTCTCCGCATGTAACGACGGCCTCACAGAACGCTTTGAAAGTGTTCCACGGGCCGTCACTGTCAGCCTCCACCATAGCTTTCACTGACTGGAAGCGACAGATCCAATCCGAAGGTGGCGGTTAATAAGCTACGTTCGGAGCTCCACGCCGGACAAACCTCTAAAGTGTGTTGCGCTGTGTCGTCTGCGAAACCACATTCGTGACAAATGGGGGATTCCTGCCTCCTGGCAACCCTGTGAAGGTATCCACCGAAACATCCATGGCCTGTGAGGATCTGAACTAATCGGTAAGAGAGTGCCCTCAATCTTCTATTTACCCACCAGTTGAGCACTGGACGTATAGATGTAATTGTCCAGACTCCTGCCCTGTGATCTTGTAACTCATCCATCCATTTCTAACGGACGGTTACTTGGGCTTCCCGTCTCCAACTGTTTATGTGCTCAGGAAGGGGGTGGAAACCCCTAATTCTACTATCTGCCCTATGCCAATAGATCCTGGCTAGGGCAGCCGCTTCGAGGTGCCAGGGGGCAGTTCCTGCAATAACACACGCTGCCTCGCAAGAGACGGTGCGGTACGCCCTTGCCACTCTTATGGCTATCACCCGTTGCGACTGTCTCAGAATCACCCTGTTTTGAGCGAATTGACAATCGGCCCAAATGGGGCATCCGTAGAGGACCTTCGCCCGGACCACACATGCAAGAACAGGCTTTCCTAGGCCAAGAAAAATACAAAAAGTGGTGACCAATAATTGTAGACTGACCGATTTGAGATATAGAAATACGAATTATTATCACATTTACACAGAAAATTTGTTACCTTGATGACGTGATCTACTAATGCCCTTTTTATTTCTTGACAAACTTCGGCTATGATTTGCGATATAGGTACTTACCTAGATGATTTTGGCAACCGAAACAGATAAAAAGGAAAGAATTCTAGTTTCATCTCTGAATAATGTATCGTTCCGTTGATTATTATTTGAAATTAATGATAACAACTCAAATCATAATTTTCTGATGTCATTCTCATTGCCAATCTGTATTCCAAGGGATCTTCTGATTTTAGCTGTTGCAAAAGCATTGCTGAGCCTCCTTTTTCATTTCTTTCGCTTATCCAATTTCTCACCGAAATCGGCTTTTTTCTTTTTGGTTCTTCTAAATCTAATTTCTTAACTATATTTTTGAAAGCATTGTCACTATAGTGTTACCGATCTAACAGCTTTTGAATGACTGGAATAATGTGGACGTGTGACTCACTGGATTACTGGACTGGAATAATGTGAACCCGGAATAACAACCCGGCATACGCTACCCTATAATACGATAATTCGGAGATACGGGCTTTTTCGTTTTGATAATAGCGCGGTTCGGTTTACGACCTTTTTTGAAAGTGTTCCGTGTGGAATTGTATTACATTTTATCTTTAAATATGTTATTCAAAAGACCAAAAAAATAATAATTTGAAGAACAAAAAACGCTATTTGCAGTGTAAACTAAATATTATCAAATACTTAATCAAAAATTCAAATTTGTTAATTGGTAAAGAAATTTTACGTAGTCACGGTATTATTGCTCATTTGAAAACAACAACCGTCATCATCATAACTTGGGTTGATGTTGTTTAATTCATAGTAAGTAATATATATTTTTTATATTATGAAATATTTTATTAGACATGTAAAATTAAATTATTGTTTCTTTAGACTTGTACCGATTACACAACTTGTTACGTATTTATATGCAAAGTAAATAAACTCCGACTCACGTGAATTTGACTTATCGCTTGGTCCCACCTATCGCGTAAGTCTGGGGTATGTGACATGGAGCTGGAGCTTGAGAGAAAATCACTTTTGATCAGACAGTGATCAGTGACCCATAATTAACTATAATTTGTAAGGCAATGACATGATTAGTAAATACGGGCAAGCCATTCCGTGACAAAAGTCCGTAGCAGCCCGTCGAAATAAGGCTCTACTTCCTCTTGACTATGAGGAGCCAGGTTACAGACATGGTGACACTGTAAAAAGGCCTGTATCCGTCCACGCATGACCTACGCCAGCCTAATCCCCCCATCCATATCTACAGGCTGCAGATACTCCAGTCACGATTCGTGAGAAACGCGTCCGGTGCGCCTACGTGCAGAACGTCGATCTTCACCATGACCTGAAGCTCCCTACTATAGCCCAATGGCGTCCAAACGCCACTTCGAAAAGAGTAAATCTAACTCCACCTGTTGGTGCGTCAAGGCATCAACTACTACCCCTTCCAGACAACTAGGGCCTATAGGAAGCTCCGACATATTTTATTGGATCCCGATAATCCCATTACATTAGCTAATGACAAATTAAAAGTCACGGTAATTCAGACTCGAGTTAAAAACCGAGGTCCCTTACTTCGCATTTCACTCACTGCAGTGAGCTACCGTCCTGCCCTTTAGGCGATTGACCACCCTACGACGGCTCAAGCCGAGGTCCGAGTCACACAGGAAACGCCCTTGTGGTAGTCGTGGGAAAAAGCCTAGTTCCGGCAAAGTTACGCTCGCCATAACAGCCTGAGCTGATCCACTCCAATCGCCACGACCGCGAGATTATATTTTAAAAAACATTGAATTTTACTTTACCTCTACTGAATCTGTGATTTTACGTAAGTACTGCAGTAATACAATCTGTTGATTTTATTTTATACGCTCTATATAGACACGGTGGGATCATACCATTTCATGATAGCCAATCCTTACTGGTCATCACAAAAAAAATTGCCCTAGAGATATTCGAATTTAAAATATTTATTCCGATTAAGGTCTTCCCAAGCGGATTTTTGTATTATTAGTATTTATTTGAGCGCGATAGAATATAATATGTGAGAATGCTTGCATACTATAAAATTTCTATGTTTAATTTTTATAATTTTTACTAATAAATTTCTGTATTTCATTGACATGTTTCTTAGAATTGGCATTTTTTAAAAGGAAGAAAAATCTATTAGGAAAAATAAAAGCAACCATTGCTTAGGAAATTTTAATGAAGTCCTAATTACATTATTTTATACATTGTAAGTTTACTTTTTAAAATTTTCACCTATAGAGTGAACTAATAGGACTACATAGCCAAAATACACTTTGTAAAGTGTGAGTTGCCACTATTGAATTGCTCTTATTGCATATATTTATTTACATCACTTTTTTTTATATTGTTTACCATACATAGAACATTACTTAAATAATATTATCATTGCTTTGAATAATATAAATGACGTTTTGGTCCAGCTAAAACCTATATACTAAGCACAACTCCTAGAGGAATGAGTAAATATTGCCATTGTGTACATATAATTAGTTATTGTACATGAAGTAACTACTATATGTATAAAAAAGAAAGCACAAGTTCAATTTCATGCAATGTTTGATACATCATAATATATTATAGTATCACTTAGTACATAGTTTAAAATGTTAAACATCATTTCTAAAATTCTACATTCCTAATTAATTATTCACATAAGGTATTCATATCAATTTAAAACTCTTAGGAGATAAAGTAATATTTTTATGACTGAAGAGTCCGTTAAAAATAATTGTCTAATAACACTTATGGGCTAGTTAAAACATGTATCTTATTTTTATAAGGCAAAATGTAAAAACCATCAAAGTTTTGAGATTCTAATAATAAAAAATAATATCCAGTATTGCATTTTCATAAGCCATAGAGAACCATATTATTCTCTTAAATAAAAAATGTGACTATTGATTATTTATTTACATTGCAGTCTTATGAGAAAAACAAATTTGGAATTTTTATTCACAATCTTTTTGATAGATTTCTTCAATATTTTTTTGCAGGAATAAAAAAAAAATAACCATTACTTACAACATTCTTGTTCTAATAAGATTTCATGTTACAACATTTGCTACTCTAGATATTTCTAAAATGTAATGAAAAATATAAAATATGACAACATTTAATTGATTGTGATAACTACTTTATACAAAACAATACTGATAACTTTGAGGTATAATTATCCAAAATAAAAATACACACCATAATAAATTATGATTTCATTGTATTAATACATATTTATTAACATTCCTCATTACAAAGTCAGAATAACAATATGCTTGGAATGATTTGCTCTTTATTTTACTGCAGAAAAACTTTGCATTTGATTGTTAGCATTTGATGCAACCCAGGAACTGAAGACATCCCTGAAAATATAAATACACAATAAATACATCCTCTTATGAATATAGAACGCATGAGAAATGTTTTTCTATATTTGCATTAAGTAATTGTAAAAATAATATTGTAAAAAAATTGTAAAAAAATCTTTAGAAAACAAGATACAAATTTATCTTCCTATTTACCTTTTTTAAGTAATATAGCCGTATAAACTATTAGATAAAAATATATCTCAAGCTTACCTGCAGTGACTGACAACACATTCATTTGAACAATATTCATCTTCCCATTCACTATTGGCTATTGCAGGATTGGTGCAGCCTTGACGGACACAAGATGTTGGAGTTCTTGTTTCATTTTGCTAAGTAAAAAAAAGACTTGTGTGAGCACTAAAATGTTTTGTTTACACAGAAACTAATAAGATCTATTATTTGTTAAAATTGTTATTTGTACAAGCAGCTTAGCTATCATTTTTTACTTTAAATAGCATAGAAATATAATAAGCATCACGGCCAATAACTGAATCCAAAATAAATATAATTCATAATATAAGTGTATTTAAAATCACCTCTGAAGAGTGCTGTGGCATTCCAGAAGCACCATCCTCATTTGTGCTATGTTCAGTTTTAATTGTTTGGTTTTGTGTTTGCTGGGGCTGGGACTGTGACTGATGCAGTTGGGCTTGCTGTGGCTGGTGAACTTGTTGATGAATTTGTTGGGTTTGTTGGTGCATTTGTTGTGACTGTTGCTGCTGTTGATGTATTTGCTGTGGTGTTTGCTGTTGATGAATTTGCTGTGGTGTTTGCTGTTGATGAATTTGCTGTGGTGTTTGCTGTTGATGAATTTGCTGTGGTGTTTGCTGTTGATGAATTTGCTGTGGAGTTTGCTGTTGATGAAGTTGTTGATTTTGATTTTGTTGTTGTGATTGTTGGTGGTTTTGTGGCTGTTGTTGATATTGGGGTACTTGCTGCATCTGGAAATAGATATATTATAGTATTGTCTTTGATTGACATAACCTTTACACATTTAAAGAAAAAACTTTTTACCGGATTAAAGTTATGTACGCGAAATGTCGGATAAATTTAAAATTATGTTAAATAATTGTAAATTTATCTTAATTTATATATATATCTTCTGTGCGTGTGTATGTGACTGAACTCCTCCTAAACGACTGGACCGATTTTGATGAAATTTTTTGTGTGTGTTCAAGGGGATCTGGGAATGGTTTAGATTTACAAATCAGCCCGGCAGATGGCACTGCAGTCTGTACTTTCATACTTTGCTTAATATCCTAATCGCTTTAAATATCATGCAGGACAACGTCTGTGGGGTCCACTAGTAATAATACATAACTTTAATCCGGTAAAAAGTTTTTTCTTTAGATATATTATGTTAAAGTAGTTTAAAAGGTATCACGGGGAGAAGGTATATTAATAAATGCAGAAATAATTATAATATAAATATTTAACTTTCTCAAACACATTACTTTCAATTTGTAGGAGAAAATATGCAACATGTACTTAATTCATGGCCCTTTTTTTCCCAAATTTTGCACTTGATTGATAGATTATCTAATCTGGCCTACATCTTTTTACTTAATAAAGAACTCCTTATGGAGATTCATTCTATACAGTAGAACCTCGTTAAGTCGAACCTCGATAAGTCAAAAACCTCCAAATCTCGAAAAAATGTTTTGTTCCCTTCCCTTAAAACACCAAAACCTCCATTACTTGAAATCTTGACCCTCTGTTAATCGAAATAATCACCGAGTCCCTCCAAGCCATTTTGGTACATATTTTCACTCTATAACTCGAAAAATTAAATTTGACCTCTGTATCTCGAACATAGGAACGTTTTATTTTACAACCTTTACAACTTGATCATTTGGAATTTATTATCTCTATTGTTCGAACAAAAATAAGTTACCGACTTTAAGAACTTGCCGCCAATGTGAGTACACTATTGTTTCTTAGAAAACATTTTAGGAGTATACAATAATAAATTTATGACTCATGGAAACACGTGTTTGCTTGCTTTGTGTCAGGTGTTCAATTTATAAGAATAAACCTCAAGCTCTTTATGTCGAATCAAAATCCGCCTAAGTCGAAATCCTCCATAAGTTGAAAACTCTATAACTCGAATTTTTTGGCGTCTCCCTTGATGTTCGACTTATAGAGTTTCTACTGTATGTACTAGAAGAGTCCTTAGAGTTTATGTAAAGTCATTCTATAATTTACCTGTTGACCATGATGATATTGCATGGCTGCATGGACACTTGCCATGGGTGGTGACTGTGACTGCACTTGGCGATAGTTAGATGGTGATAACCCAGCATTTGCTGGATAGTTTGGAGGTGATTGTGTCTGTTGGTAGCTTCTGGGTGACTGTGCTATGTTTGGTTGACAATTTTGTGGAGAAGTAGCTGGGTTCACTTGATAGCCTTGTGGTGATTGACTTGGTACAACCTATAGAAGTATATAATGTTAAGGAGATATTGCTAGGTTCCCATTGTTTAAACTAAATGCGCATCCTGACCGTGTTGTATTTCTCATTTCTAATTATTTTTTTTCATTAAAATAAATATATATTAGGTTTTAATGTTGCTTAGATTTTTTTCAAATGAATCCTTTTCACTACATAATTTACTATTTTTAATTTTGCTTATTGAAAATTATTAAAGGCTCAACATATAAATTTAAAAAAAATATGTCTACATACCTGGTATGACTGAGTTGGGTGTCCCATGTTTCCTTGATAAGTTTGAGGTGACTGTTGTGGGTTTGAAGGATAGGCCTGTTGGTTCTGGCCGTTGTAGGAATTTTGAGATTGGCCTGGATAATTTTGTGGTGAATATCCTTGTGGAGTGCTATTTGGCACAAATCCCTGAGGTGAATGACCATTACCATACGGTTGACCCTGGTAATAATTTCCGTAATTTGCATTTCCATTATTATGATTATATATCACTTGATTTTCTTGCTCCGAGCCCTAAAAGTACCATATTACAATTATAACTCATTTCTAGTTTTAGTGTTAACTTATAAACATACCAATTGACATTATTTACTATAGTAAGAAACCTCTAACTAACAAGAGTTTATGTCACAAATGATGTTAATTACGATTCCTGATTTGGATATCTTAATTATTAGAACAACATAGTTCTTCAAACTGCTTATTACAATAAAATGCATAAGGCTAGATCTATAATCGCTTTATTATTATTATAAATGATAGTCCGAGAAGTCAGTTAAGACTTACCAATATATCAAACTCGGTCGGATCGAAATACATCGTTGTCTTATATTACATATTTTATTTTAGAAAATTTCACATTAACATTGCATAGTTAAAATAGATAAAATATCTCCGTAATTTAAATCACATGAATAAGATATTATTATTGATATTTGATTCACTTGTCAATATACAAAAATAATAAACAAAACGCTACCGGTGCTCCACCTATTTCAGACTACCATTTTATTTTTAGGCACGCTTGACGCTACACGCTTGCGCGATATTGAAGGGTTAACACTGACAACTGACAATCATCGACATCCGACAGTGACAACAACAGATAACATACTGCAACTTAACTAAAACTATACAGAGTACAGACTACTAACTACTAGTTTATCATGCAATTCGTGACTAAAAAAAAACCTAGGTCTTAGCCTGTTATGTATCTGTTTCCTATACAGCTTCTTTTTGTAGTAAGTGATGTAAATTGTTTTTATGCCATTTAATTAATATTTGACTCTAAACATTAAGTCATATAATTGTAGTATTATAAAAAAATGTTCTCCCCCGATATTTTAATTTAATCATTATTTTTTTTCTAGATATGGAATTTTAGGTCTAAACTCTAAAGCATGTCATTATGTTACCGTACCAGCAAGTGTTTAATGAAACACATACAATGAAATTTTCATTGGACCACAGCCGTGATTCGAACATAAGAATTCATGGTTGAGAGGTACTCGCTCAAGGCATTAAGGCCAACAACTGTTTTCTTTTCTAAATTAGATCACATGTATAACTAGCGATCTGTCCTGGCTACACACGGATTTTAAAATTATATTAAACAAATAAAGTTTATTTTACTTAGGTCTAAAGTAGCATTCCTCTATTGCTCCAGTAGTTTTTGAACTGAGTTACAAAATTATAAATCTTTATAATAGTAATGAACTAATTAGTACTTGACATAGATAATTTGTTTCGATTTTAATGCATAGATTTTTTTTACTAGATGAAAAGGCGGTATGTGTGCCAAATTACCAAAACTTATAACAGATGGAGATAATTACCTTTGAAACCAAGCTTGCTCTGTAGGCTGCAAGAGCTTTCAGATACTCCTTTTTTGCAACTTCTGTTTTTTGTTTGTAGACCTGTGTAAAGCAAAAAAAATATTATTGCAAAAATATGAAAAATGGTTATCAAATATGAAAAAAGACTTACACTCTTGTGTTCAGAATCTAAAGCATCCCACATTGATGCAACAATTTTTGAAACTTCACCAAAACTTGCATTCGGATTTTGCCCTTTAATAGCAGCTTGTGTGTCACGAAAAAATAGGGCATATGCTGAGACAGGTCTGCAAAGATTTATTAGAATAAATAAAATATAAAACCTATTAGAAAACTATATAAAAAATATAATTTTTATATATTTACTTTTGGGGCTCATTGGGGTCCCTTTTCTTCTTTTTCTTCTGAACTTTGGGTTTCTTTTGCATTTGACCACGACTCATGCCATTATCAATTGGTTCAGGAGAGGATCTTTTGACTCCCATGTTCAAATTCATCTACAAAAAGTAAATTACATATGAGAATACAAATCAAATATTAAATGATTAAAAATCTAAAATAATAATTCATTGGCAATACACATTTAACACTTTTTCAGTAGCAAATATATTGAAACTACATAATTTGCCTATACCTGATGAAGCGCAGTTTGTTGCTGCCGGCTCGCTGAGCAATAATGGATAGGCAGAAGGCTTTCCGCATCACCAGGCAACTACCAACAAACAACCAATTCATTAGAATTCACTACACTTAACATAATTCTAACAAGTGTATATGCCAATGAACTATAAGCATTAGATGTATATGTATTTTTTTTAAGTTGAAGCTATGCTTATATTTTTAAAAACAAACAGCATTACATAAACTACTAAAGATTAAAATTAATATTTATCAAAATGGCATAGTAAACACAGTAACAGTGGCATTGTATACATTCATAGATACATATATCATGTTTCATGCACTACATAGTTATTTCATCAAATTATGAGTAATACCTGAGAATGTTGTGAGGGAACACTATCATCTGAGTCATCACTAGTAGTGCCTGGGGGTGATGCTCTCTGTGGTGATCCATACACAGGACCAGGTTGGTTTGGAGTGCTTGGGGTTGGTGGTCCGCTCATTACTTGGGTTGGCTGTAGCATCAATAGCTGTTGCCCTCCTGGTTGTTGCTGGATTATATAATTTCCAGCAGGAGCACAAGCAGCACTAAAATATGACATTTTAGTTAATTGATTAAAGTATATTATGTGTATTTAAATTTAAACAACAGTGAGATAAAAATTAATATAGTATTAGAATTTAAAGATTATCACCTGTGAGTTGTAACTGGCGGATGAGGTTCTTGTAAATATAGGGGTTGTTGATATGACGGCGCGCCCCCCGGCGGTGCTAAGCCATCTTGAGCAGGATTTATCATACCAACCTAAATATTAAATTGGTAAGGTTATATTATAGTAAAAAATAGTTCTAAAACGCTAAAAGTAAAATAGTTATTTTGCATTATTTTGCACATAAATTACAACATAAAAGACGAATGTTCAGATAAGTAGAAAACAATTTTTTTTATTTGTAAACAAGATTCGAATTCCAAGAACTTTAATGATAATTGATATTTGACAAACGAAAGTTCTACACGCTTTTTTTGACAGCTATGTCCAAGGGTAATGTCAAATGTGTAGATGTGACACAGTCACAGTCACAACGTCTAAAACATAGAAACCATGTAGAAAATAAGAGCAATATGATCTAATGGACTTATGTGTGAATTAATTAATGAGACACCAAATTCATAATCATACGTTTTTTGTTTATGATCGTAATCACATTTTTATCAAATTCTCATGTTTTAAATACCATCAAATAAAGTGTGTCCTTCGTGTAAATTTGTAGGGTAAGTTAAGTGACAACGTTTTTGATCACATTATAAGCAAAGACAAGATGTCATTTTCGAAGCTTTTTAATTGTTTCAATATTTAAGAATTTTTTATAGTTAGTGTTTATTATGGTAAGATATCTTGCGTAATTGAAAGAGTATGGTTGACGTATTAGAATATGGACTAAGTTTTAATTCATATTCGTTTTCGAAACAAAACATACCTTTACCAAATTACTACCATGATCCTACTAATGCAAACCTAACTTTATAGTAAAGTTTTTTTAAAATACTGGCATTATATTATTAATTGTAAATTATTGTAATTACTTCTTTCTACTTGGACTAAGACTACGTTTTGACTTTTTCTATTCAGCCGACAGCTTGGCTGAATAGTACCTATATCAAATATACTACAAGCCCATGAAAAAAAAATACCTGTGAAATGAACCAACGTGAATAACGCTTAGAAGGCTGTTACTATATCAGAAAATAACTCTGAGCATTATGCCGTCATTTCTGAGCGGTACATGTGAGTGAATGGAATTTCTCAGGTACAAATGAGGAATTTCGACTAATTATTAATGTACGGCTTTGTTAAAGTGTATAGATGATTAAAAATAAATGTCGAAAAACCTAATGCCGTACTAAAGTGATGGTGCCGGAAGTCGGTGCAAATTTTTAATTCGACGATAGTTGCAGAAGCAATATAGGTCATTTATTACTGTTCGGTATTTGTGTAATTCCTTTTGGACACATATACAGATACTTTACCCGTAAACGCCGTACATATATCCAGCGGAGCGGTCGAAAGCCAAGGGTCGCAACATATCTCTGATTAGCATATAGGTGATGATGATATAGAACAACATAAAATTAAATGATCTTGAGAGTACTTCACAAATCGGTAACATTTTCCAGCATGCCGTACATTTTTTGTGGAACACATAGGTGTATGGGGTAAATTACTTCCCTCCGAAAAGAGTCATTTTCCGGTGACTTTTATCTGTACGGCAATAACACTGGTTATTAATACTTTAGACAATCTTCAATAAAATATAAATGCCGTACACTTTCGATAGTCCGCTAGTCTGTGAAATGGCAGATTATTCCATCGCCTATAACCGCTGTCTGTGCCGTGGCAGAATACCTACCCTATTTTCATATTTGTTAAAAAAACAGCCTTATGGTAGTATACTAAGCTGCATGTTAGTTGTTATCTTGGCCATACAAAAAAGAAAATGAAAAAGAACAAAAAATTGTCTTTGAAAATTTGAAAATTCGCCATCACAGTCACGTGAAAGCAAAAACAAGACCATTGCAGCTCTTACTGAAATCGCCGAAGTTCCAAGAAGCATTCATTACAATGGGAGAGTACACAATTCTAACTGATCCAGATGTTATGAATACTACATTTGACCTTATTCAAAATTTTGTTTGTCTGATGTATAATGTCAGAGCAGTTTCAACTGTTAATGAAGCGAGATATATAATTTTCGACAGAAAATGAGAACGCAGCATTTAAGAAGAAAACGAGCAAATTGAAAGCTACAGCTTTTCCTCCTTCGTGCCGCGAGCTACAGCAACGGATGAGAAGAGCAACATATATTACACAAATTTGGTGTAACGCGAATGTACAGAATCCGTCTACTATAACTCCCAACAGTTACGGATGGGAATTAATTAATATGAAATATGAGTTTCATTGGTTCGACGGCGAGGAATATCCTGTAAAATTCATTGATATTGTAGAAGCGGGTGCAGAAACGGATAACGATGCTAATGAAAGTACAGGTAAAGAATACATCCTTGCACTTGTAATCTTCTTACAATAGTTAAATTACAAACACATATTTGTATTTCAGACGCCGAGCGCGACGGTGAGGGAGAACTTACTTCTGATGCGGAGTTAACGGAATACGAGACTGATAACGAATCAGATGAAGATTCTATATAAAATTTTTCCTTAGTTATTAATCGAACCCCGAATGGAATATTATTGTTATAAGACCTCTTTTTTAAGATAAACTAGTGTACAAGAATTTCATATAAATAAATCAAAAACATAATTTAAATGTATTTATTAAAATTTTGAAAATTAAACTTTCAAAAGCTTGAATGCTGAAGATAACACTTTTCATAGCTTTTCATACGAGTATTATACGTAATTTGTCATTTAAAATGTACGGCATTATAATTTTTTGTTATTATTTATTATTACAAACAAAATTTTTTGAATGCCGTACAGTTATTAATGACCTTCAGGGACACCTCAAACGTCGTCGAAGTTTTTATCAGCTGTAAAGAATAATCTGGAGTAAAATGTACGGCATCTGGTTTTTTTTTGTTTATTTATATTTGTTACATATAAAATAACAATAATCTTTGAAAATATTACTTCTCATATTACTCTAGGAATATTTGAAAAATCATATAAATTTCGGAAATTTCATATATTTTTTTATCCTAATATTTTTATTTGTTACCATTTATAATGAACGGCTATAAGGTACAACGGTAATATTTAGTAACATTATGTAAAAAAACAAGTTGCCGTACATTACTTTCTGATCTTACAGCAGTAATAACTCGGTATATCCTGAAATTTCGATAAATATTTATTTACACAATTATTAACTATAATTTTTGGACGGCATAGTTAGAAAACATTATTGTCCGTGTTAAATAATATTTTGAACATGTTGCCGTACATTTTACAATGACCTTAGGGTATATGGGTGTAGGGGTAGGGTTGCGACCCTTGGCTTTCGACTTCTCCGCTGGAAATATGTACGGCGTTTACGGGTAAAGTATCTGTATATGTGTCCAAAAGGAATTACACAAATGCCGTACAGTAATAAAATATGACCTTTATTGCTTCTGCAACTATCGTCGAATTAAAAATTTGCACCGACTTCCGGCACCATCACTTTAGTACGGCACTAGGTTTTTCGACATTTATTTTTAATCATCACTTTAACAAAGCCGTACATTAATAATTAGTCGAAATTCCTCATTTGTACCTGAGAAATTCCATTCACTCACGTATTCACATGTACCGCTCAGAAATGACGGCATAGTGCTCAGAGTTATTTTCTGATATGGTAACAGCCTTCTAAGCGTTATTCACGTTGGTTCATTTCACAGGTATTTTTTTTTCATGGGCTTGTAGTCTAAAAACAGCGTTCCTTAAGGCAGTTTTTGCCGCGCACCACCACTATGAACCTGAGCTGTTCACTGAAGTATTTCCGAACCAATTCGACTTTAGGGTCCTTCAAGAAAAGAGCGTACCAATTCTAAAAGGCCGGCAACGCACTTGCGAGCCTTCTGGCAATGTGAGTGTCCATGGGCGGCGGTATCACTTAACATCAGCAGAGCCTCCTGTCCGTTTGCCTCCTATTTAGTATAATTTTATATTGAAATTTGTAAAATTTTCATATCTATGGAATATCAACAAAAAGTCAACTATTTTCTACCACGAAATAGTTAATTTATTATTTTCAACTGCGTAAGTTTTCTTACAGTGTTAAAAATGATCAACACGTTTTTTAACAGTTTTATTTTATTCTATTTAAATATATTGTTGAAAACTATTAAGAACACTTAAAGCATTGTATACAATAATACCTGAGGTGCCGAGTGGTGCATTTGTGGGTACTGCATATGAGAATTTTGCCCGTTTCCACTCGTTGGTTGTTGTCCATGGATAAGAGGAATATCAAATTCTTCGTCGCCAAAGGAGGGTGTATGGAATGTCTGCAATAAAACAATGTGTGACTAAAAGCCTAATTTTAAAAGCAATCTTTAAATGAAAATTGTATTGTGAATTATAAACTAATGTTATATAATGAATATTCTTCTTCATATAGTTCTATCTCCTTGCGAAGGTCGGCAATCATGATGAATGAATATTGCTTAGCACTTATATAATAAAAGCTTTATATAAGGACGTATTTATGTTACTAATAGTGGCAATAAGTGGTATTTTTGGGTTCTCGGCTGTGCACATTTTCGGAATTATTGAAGTTATACTTCTTTAGGCGCGTTATGAAAAATTTATGAGAGTGAAATTTTACGATGCGCGCGCACCGTGACACAAAATTAACAGAATGAAGTTGCCCACGGAGGATGCTACGGCATTCGACATAATTTAAAAACAACATTCGAATAATAATAGAATTTATGTTACACTTAATGTAAGAGAATAATAATAAATATTTATTTATTTAATTTTTTAAATGTAAACTGAACTTTATTGACTATAATGACTGCTTTTCCAGTCTTTGATTATTTAATTTTAATTAATTATTTGCATGCAATCAAAAACTATTTTTAATAATGGCAAAGAAGTATAACTTCTTACGCGCGTACATAAGTACACGCACCCTTTTTTTATTTATTTATACTTAGTTGCAAACAATTTAATTAACTAATAATTTATGGAAAAAAATACGTACATGTAGATGTACAATACAATGGTTTCTCTTCGGGACACGAAATAAAGGAAAAAATATACAAAAATTGTGAGACAGTGCAAAAAGTGAGAAATTTATCAGGTTGTATAAATACGAGTATATACAGCTGCAAAACTATAACAAAAAACAATAAGAGAAATAAAACATAAATAATCATTAGGCCCTTTGGAAAAAATCGTGAGGAAACTGGCGTACCTATTTTACAAACAAAAAGTTTATTATGCTCTAATCCCCATCATCAGAGGCCTGACTAAAGTTCATGGTGATGATAATGTCGCTATATCTACACATACCTGATCGCTCATGGTGTAATGTCCTGGCTTCGCGTTACGATTGTTTTGGGGAAGAGAACTGAGTTTAGCCGTAGAATCGTGATTTTCAACCCGCTGCAAAAAATCGAAAACTAAATTAACTTTTTATATAATAAACAAATCGAGAAGAATTCAGGTCCTTTTTCCTATTCAATCTCGTTTTGAGCGCTGTCAAATATGCTTGACTTTAGTTTCATTGACGTTCAAGAATACGGATCGAAAACTTTTGTCTGCCATGAAATTTGCATCGAAAAATTTGGTCATGTTGACCCGTTTTATACGCTTGTACATATGAGAAAGAATTTTTAAATTATCATTAAAGGTGTCGGCTAAAGTCAAGCCCCCTAAGTTCTACGAAGCATATGAATATGTAGGCGTGGTGGCATGGCTCCTCATTCAACTAAGTAAATAAGAACGTATATGCCTATAAAAAGGCCACAGGAGTTTGATTCTACAATATTAATCATACCCCTTTAAGCATTTCAGGTAAGTCATAGGCAATTTCTTAAGAATTTTCTATAAAATATCCACGCGAAAAAAAAAATCTATCGATTTTTTATTAATCTACTTTTAATGTTAATGAAAAGTCGTTTCAAGTTTGAAAAAATGGTTTTATTTAGTATCTATTATTCACTCAGATGATTCTATAAATACTTTTTACTCATATTGAAGACGGTCGCAGGAAAAGCTTAGAAACAAGCTAGTGTTGGTCTCACTTTGAGTCTGCATTTGTATCCGGACACGCTAAGAATATTTGTATTTTGTAGACATGTTAGAAGTTAACCTTCATCATCACTACCGTTTTTTGACTGAAATCAGAACCTATTTAATAGTAAAAATATATTTCAAGAGCTTTATTTTAAAAACTGCACAGTAATTAATAGAAACGCGTCATTTAGGTTTAGGTTTAAAGACTTTATTTCTCAAAAAAGACAAAAAATGTCACTTACATGAGAATAATACTCTAGATAACATAACATTGTAGTCGTTCTTAAAATAATCACAATAAAATATAGCCGTACATGCAATAAATTTAAAAATAAAAGTAAACAAAGAAATATGAATTAAAAGTAATTATAAGAAATGAATTTAAAAGTAATTTTATATATCATTTGTGTTTTTGTTAAATGTTGTTTATAAGTTTGATTACCAAATACAAATATGAATATCAGGCTAAGAGCAAGTGTACGAATAATAGTATTATTTAATATGGAATTGATTTTTTTTTAATCATTTATGATACAATTTTTTGTTAATAATTTTTAAAGATTTTGACATTAATAAAATTTATTTGTCCTACTAACCTATTCCAGGTTATTAATTTATTTAGTAATCCTACAGGTAACAAAAATTATATATTTTAATTTTTATTATAAACAATTACACTAAATATATAGCCAAAGATGGTATACGAGTACATAATATTTACCTACAAAAAGGTTCAAGCATTTGCATAAGGAAAAAAAACAATAAAACTATTCAATATAATTATATAAATAATACCTAATTTGGCTGTGTTGTGTGATGGTGTAAAAGTGTAAAATGTACGTGGAGGCGTGTATGAAGGGTGTGCTCATGATGCAGGTGATTTTTCCCTATGGATATTCTTAATACAAGGAGTATTATTCACACATATTAACTATTTTTAGTATGGTATTATTCACAGATAAGTTTCTGGCGGTACCATTTCAAACAAATTTTTCTTTATTGCACTTTTGTTTTGACTTTAAGGTCCAAAAGACATTCTTTATTAATCAGCTTTGCTGCTTCGCAAAAAAGAATCCAAAAGGCTGTGAATTAAACTTATCTTGGTTAACAGACGAAAAAAACTTTTTTGAGCGTAAAAGGTATTATATCGTACACATATAGTGAGAATTAACTGATTTGATAATATCAAATACGTATACGTTATACCAACGTTAGTTAATAGTCTGTGGCTATTAAAAGGTTCAAAGCTTCAAAAATCAATTGATCAGTTTTTGTACTGGTTTATGCGGCAAGTTGGTCTCATTCTCTGGTAACCGGTTTGTAGCACACCGGCTGAGTCCATGGGTCTGAGCATAACATACCAATATCGACTAAGTGAAAGGACACGATATTACCTTTATATTTTGCAATAAAACGAATAATAATTAAATAATATTAATCGCTGGGTTATGATATATTTATAAATTACTAAATATATTTGGAACACATGAAAAGTTTATGGATAAGTTTCTATAACACTTAGTCTACTATAATATTTTTATCGTTAAGCTATAAGCTATCGTTTAGCTTTATGTTCTATGTTGGCTTTTTTGGATCAAATAAATTCCCGATTTTACATTAGGTCACGTATAGCTTTTCATCTATTGAAAATCATGATTTTCTATTTAACCTTTCTACTAGTCTAATAACATAAGGGTGTTTGCACAATTGTGACCGATTATAAAACACGTTAAGTTTTAAAATAAATAATAGTATTATTTATATTTAATTGGAATAGATTGAAATTAAATTTACTGATTATTAGGAAAAATATATGGATACTCCTCTTTCGTAGGTTTTATTATCTAAGAGACGAGCGTGGACCAACTTTGTCTTTTCTTTTCTATTGTCGATAGGTGTCTCTGGATTCAAAAACTAAATAAATAATTAAGTGTTTCTAATAGCGGTCTGTGTATTTAGAGCGAGGAAAGTAGAAAGTAAGAAAAAAGTAGGTCATATAAATCAAGGTATATTAAAATCAAATGAAGTATATATTTATAACGAACAAAACGACATTCTATAAAACATACCGAAATCATAAATCATTTCAACCTTTATAAAAGTTGAATCTTCTTTTATTTATGGACATAAGGAAAACTAATTACGTACATACAGACGTAAGACTCAGCTCGATTTTCCTTTTTCAAAATAAAAAGTACTGCATTTCAATAATTCAGGAATATTAATTTTATAAGATACGTACGTAATGTCTGCTAAAGGCGCTGTAATATACGCGCTCTTATAACAATTGTAATGGTCAATGACCCCTATTTAGTTCTGTCCACTAAAATAGAGTTAAATCAATTGATGTTGTTACGGTTTGAAGTTGGGACTTATGCTCTCCTAACAAGAAACAGTTAAGGATCACCTAAAAGAACTGTCGAAAGAGGTTAGTCTGTCGACAGGACGAGATAAAAAAGCGTTTTTTCAACTAATGATAGTAAAAGATTTGTATATTAATTGTTTATTGTATCGAAATTCATGAAAGCATGCATTCGAGTTATAATGATTTAATGATATATATATTAATTATTCTATTACTTTTTAGTATAGACAAATGTAATAATTTTAGAGTTAATGGCACTTTAGGAGTATTCCTTGACGGACGCAGAAATATGACATGTCCGATTTAATAACAATCACAGAAATAATAATATAAACAAGGCTTACAATTTCTTGCAGATTCATAAAACTGTTCCAACAACGGTTTCATTATACGTAAAAAATGAAAGAAGTCACAATATATAGTCATATATTTCATTAACCTAAAAAAATTTATTGAGAAAACCTTAAATTAAATTTATGGACCAAAAATGTAAGACCCAAACTAGGTCTTTTATTGTTACATGTATTATTATATTAGTAAAATGTATGTAAACCATTTCTTATTTTATAACTAGAAAGCTGTCATGAAAATTGGAATAATACGGTCGACTTAATGAATCAAATCAAATTTGAATAATTCCATAAATTTATTGAAGTAGTAGGTACATACTAATATTATACGTATGTTATCATGCACTCTTATCTTTAGAATATCACACTAAGTCTATCTTTGTCCCACTTTAATTTATTTCAATTAAATATTATAGTTCAATCTGCTAAAGTAAAACAATGTTTACATTTATGAAGCTATATAAATATATTGTTTTTAAATTTATGTCTAGACTTTTGTTTAGGTAACCCATGCAAATAGCACCAACTGCCACGTATTACTTACTTTAATCACAAGGAGCGTTTAGAAATCCAATTAATTAAGTAGTCCGGCTTCATTAAGATTTAATAAAAATCGGGGAAGAAAAATTAAAGTAATTACAGTTTTAATTTAATAAAGCACAGCAATTATTGGACACACTTAGTACTTTCGATAATCACATAGGTCACAAAATGTAATTCGACGTTTATTAGTTATGATTTTATATGTCAAAACAGCGGGAAAGATTCTTTGACAGGACTTGTATGACCACACACTAGACACGCACGTGCGACCCGCGCGGGAAGACTGCGTGGCGTTTGCACGCGGGCTGCGGTGGGGACTGAGGAACCGCGCCACAATTTGAATTTTGACTACACTGTAGAACCACAGATAACATAATATTGTGTCGATGGTAGCTGTCATAAAAATTGTATTACATGGAATATTAGTACTATTTTAACTGTATTAATATGTTTTTTCCAATCAGTATATCAGTCCATCTTATGTAATCATAAAGTAAATATTTACTATATAAATTTGAGAATAATACCTATAACCTACGTAATAAATTGTATCAAAAAACAAAACAAATACAATTTATCACACTGGCACGGAATCCTATCTTTGGATATATGTATATTATGTTTGTGTCATTTATTACTAGGGATAGGGATAAATGGTATACAAATTTTACTTATGGTCTTCCTATATAAACCCGTCAAATTACATCATTTTTATCCGGAAGAGGATTTTGTAAGATTTGGACAGCTTTATCAGAGTTTTGTTCGGTCTCAGCTTTTTTCGTTAACGTTATTATAAAGTTAATATGAATTAATGACTCATTTGTTGTTGTGTTTGATTCATAAAACAAATAATTTCTCTAATCTATTAAATTTTTGTAGCACATTTGAACATTAACATTCGCTCAAATATGTACATTAATTAAGTCTGTAATGCTCCAATACAATTCTATATATACTTGGGTGAAAGAAATAAGACTAAGTATTAAGAGAAAGAAAAACAGAGTTTTGATTTATAATAATATGGATGATAACAATAAAAAGTAATCATGCGTCATTAACATATATGTATACGTAAAAATAGAATTAAAAATGTGATTGAATTACTGAGATCGAATTGAAACGGTAGATTTCAAGTTATTGAATTGAATGAAAAATTGGCTCAAATTTTAAATGTCATATGATGTAAGTATTTGAATGATGTTAATATTGAGATTATGTTATCTATAGATGTATCTTCTTAATTAAAATGTTAAATATCTATTAGATGTTTATCGGTTAATTAGAATGATGGAATTGAGATGTTAAATTAAGTTTTTATTCGAATTTATCGTCAAACTTCAAACTTTAGTATAGTCGAAATTATAATAACTAAATATTATATTATTATAAAACTTATTTTATGTTAATTATATAATCTGAGTTCCGATAATCACGGCAAGTGAATTAAAATTATTCTTAATATAGTATTATCTATTATAAGGAAATTAAAATATCATTACCTTATACATACTGTAGATTTTATATGATTGTTCTCGGCCATCCCCCGCTGTTTGAACAGGTTCCATACTGTTTTACCTACAGTATGGGAAATTAATAAAATGCAACGGTCCATTTACTAAATGTAAAACAAAATCCAATAAATACAAACTAAAACAGCACAGTTTATAATAAGAGTAATGTAAACAAACGTTGATAAGTCCAATATATGAAATCAACAATTAATAAATTGTGAACGCGTATAGGTGTAGTGAGAAAAGGGATATGGCATTCCGATACGTAGGGTACAGGTTTATCAATGAAGAACTAAAGGGTAAACCGTGGGAGGTGTCACTGCCAACAGGCAAGCAAAGGGCGAGCACGTGGCCGGTCCGAGATGATCAGGAAGCAACGCGACGGGACACTTAGAATTCGCGAGGGAGCGACCGCCGGAAACCGAGGTGTACCAGGGTTCCTCGAGTACAGAGAAGTGGCGGCCCGCGGCACTCCCGCCTCTCCCAGCGACCCCTCACTCCTCACCCCGCACATGCACTTCGAAGCCTCCACAACACCGCTCACCCCGCATTCTATACTCGCCTTAATCGCAAATTAAACTTCCAGTAATGTTTTCTGTTAAGCTTAGAGCTTAATTTGATGTCATTCATTACGCTGGATTAGGAAATTGCGTAACTGATTACGTATTTACCAAGCTTATGTATTATATCTTACTTATTCCTTGGTTTTATTAATCAACGGACGGCTATAGACACTATATTAACTTAATACAATAGCACGGTGAGGGCTGGTCATATTTTATTTAGTTTAGCTTTTGTTGGACATGATTGAACCGATGTTTGTCACTTACATGTAATAGTCTTGCGTTACTCCTTCAGAATTCACGCACTATTTTATTATATATATAATAAAAAACTGGTTACTGACTTGTCTCATCTTAAAATCTGTTATAAAAACTTAACATTTAATAACTTAAATATTGCTATGAGGTCTCTGAATTAACGATAAGAGGTATAGATATATACACGATAATACTAAGTGTATTATCGTAAATACTCACAATCCTTATGGCTTTCTATTTTGCCTATCAATCGTAACGCAATAAATATTCTAATACTTTGCAATATTATATGGTAATTATATGATATTTCGCGAACATTGATCGAACGACGTGCACTTGTAATGATGTTATTACAGGAAATCCCTGCGCCAGACAACAGGGGTGGCATGCTCAGAGCCAGACATGCCATAATTGTTTGTGTTCAAAGCATACGTATTGCAATCAATTGACCCGTCCAGCCCCTTATCGCTAACCCTCGCTATTGTGTAAAATTTTGCAATTAAATGATGGATGATAAATTACCAAAAAGGTAAGAATATTTGTTTTATAAATGCATATTCGTGGTTGAGGTATTTCATCGGTGAGGTGGTTGTATCGTAATTCACAATTCTGGAACTGTTAGAAATTATATGAAGAATTAGAAAAATAAATAGAAAAGCTTTAACAATTCATAATTGGATTTCAGTTTGATTTAGGTTTTATCGTGCAATGATAGCTTTCTTTTGTTGATGATAATAATAAATTAATTATTTATAATGAAGTTGTCACTAAAAATATCTTTCTTTATATGAGGTTTTGAATCAATATTGTCATGAAACGGGTTATTTATTACGAATCCATTATACGAACTTGATTCCTAGAGGACAGTAAAGTGTTCGTCTGGTGTTCATAAGAAAAGACTGTATCACTCTCGAGTACAAGAGTTGTGAGAGAGGCTATACATATTAGTAAAAAAAAATATAGTTTATCAAAACTTTTTAGGACTGAAAGTTTGAAAATAGAACAGGTCTACAAGTTGGCTTTCCACAAGTAGGTTTTAATATCATATCGTGATATTTTTTGAATAAATCGGAATAAATAATAAAAATATATAGATTGTATAATCTATTTTAACTACAGCAGGGTTTTTTTCTGATTGAAAACACACAGTATAGCGACTTACAGTATCGAGTCTCAGGATAACTTTGTACTGCACCAGCCGCTTTAATATTATGACATTCCTATAGTTACAGAAAGATCTTAACATTAAAAAGGTGTATATTATAGCGTATACGTATTTTGAATAAAAATTACGAGATAAAACATAATAATTATGTTTCTGTTTGGATGTAGTTTACGGCCTGAATTACAAACAGAAAGAATGAAAGAATGTTGAAACATATACTATCATCGGACTAGAAAGGAGACTGGATATTGGCAGAGTCCAGGGGAACCCCAGAGGAATGTTTAGCCCAACCACACTGGAGGTCATATGTTATTGTAGTCACTTTGTGTCTGCTTTTATCCAAAGTACGCTGTCTGCTGATACCACAACCTCCGCAGGAGAATTTGTATGAGTCATTTGTGATTTCTCTGAGCCAGTTTTGCGGTGTACAGGTTGTTGAGAGTGGGTTGGTCTATTTGTGGTGACAGAAGAAGCGTGGGAGCCGCGTGTACTGAGCTGGAGTGGCAATGACCTTGACACTAAGCGAGTGGCCTTGGGTAGCACGTGGCGGCTGACACCCGCTGTCTGTTGTCGGAACGCCGCCGCCGCCTTTCCCAAGGGAGCCTAGTATGGATATGCCTTGCGAACTTTTCTAATAGAGGATTTCGATTTTAAAATTGTTTTAGATTAGCTTTTTAATGTTTTGCACTTAAAAAGATGATTTTAAATTTTTTAAACTTTTTAATGTTATTCTTGCTGAAAGTTCCGAAATGTATCCTCTTTAAAGATTAGCTTGTAGTTAAAACAAGAAAAACGTGAAATATTTCTATTTGTAATTTTTTTATCATGTTTTTTACAGTGCTTCCAATCTAACTTAAAATTTTATAGTGAAATTGCTTCAACAAAGATATTTTAATAAAGTTACATAAAAACATTTCCGTTTATTAAATATTTAAGTAATTAACTTCACCAGATAAATAAAAGACACTTAGACTAAAAAATTCAAGGTAGTTGTGTATCTTATAAGAATTGAATAATAAGAATTTGCAAGAAATATCCACACAATGATAGCGTGTGAATGGGTGCGATTCAGCCGGCGACGTGCAGCGTGTCGAGTGCGGTCGCCGCGGGGCCTGGCGAGCCGGCAGCGAGCGGTAGCCTGTAGCCGCCCGATACGTTTACGAGCCGACACTAACTTTAAGTGACCCCGCCCGCACTCGTGCACAACACTGCTTGTATTCCCTCTCAATGAAAACAAGGAAACGACCTTTTATTCGTGTGACTGATTATTGTCGAGCTTTATGAAGAAACGCGGACATTTGCGGCTGTAGTAATTAGCTACGTGCTACGGTCTACGCGCTACGCGTTTACAGCGATGTCTTGATTGCCATTTTATTATGTTCTTTATTCAAAATAACACATTACTCTAGATATAATATAGTGGTGCACTTTGATGTAGCAGCTTTATAATAATAAACAACCAATTTTTTTTCCTAATACTCATTCTTCACTTCACTTTGATTACGCGGTATTGTATACAGTCGTCATTGTACAGCCAGTTAAGGCCGCAAGAAAAGGCAATGGGTCTTCATTGGTCTGTATATCAGCTGTCAAGGAATGCGTACGTCGTTCGTGCGACGAGCCGTGCCCTCGTAGTATGAATGAACGTGGTCGTGCCAACGACGCTTTTTATCGCTGCTTCATTACTGAGCTCTGACTGTAAACACCTGTTTGTGTGATAAGCTAATATTCTGTAATATGTTTCAATTGCACAATTAATAATATGTAACACTATGCGATGCTATGAAAGCAAGAAGTAACTAAACTACAAGTATGATTATTGATTACGTTTTCACGAAATACATATTTTATATATCCTGTAATGTAATTATAAATCCTGGGACAATTAAAACATTTTTTCAATTTAAAACAGTATCACCCAATACCATTTATATTAACATATTACATTTATAATGTAAGTAACTAATTAAGTATATTTTTTATTTATTTGCACTTGGTATAAGTACCTATAGGGTATAAGTATAAGTACATGTACATACAACAATAAAAACAGTAACTCCAAATTAGTCAAAGTTTTCTCTATAAAATTGTTTTATAAAATGGGTTTCACCCCTTAATTCGATATTTTACAGCCTATAGCCTACAACAATAAATGGAGCATCATCATTCTGTCAACATGTTGAAATGTCTCACAACCTTCGGTCTCATTCACTCACTCACATTTCATATTATGAGATTTAAAAAATCTGTGTAGCTATCCAATTTGGTGCATGTGCAATGTGCATGTGCATGCGAATGGTTTGCATCTATGCGCATATCAATTTTATTTATAAGTTAGTAAGCAATATTTTCAAATAAAAGTGCTTTTAGATATAAAAACCTGTTATTTTTTTAATTCACTTAATATACGTATACGAAAAATTTTAAGAACAACTTACTGTGAATTCAGTACTACATATTAGGTCGATTTATGTAATAACATAATATGATCATAGATTTTGTACTTGATATGGTATTTCTTATGCCTCGGATCGTTTGATTGGTTTAAATAATCTTTAAATAAACATGAAAGATGAAAAGTCATAAACATACATTGAAGCCCGGCAACCCTCCAATGGGTATGAGATGCCTCATTACCGAATCCATTTCAGTGAACATAAACAGTATAACCTAGTGGCTAGGCGAGAGATTCTCCTGAGGTGGCGTGAAATAAAAATTTATAAAATTAATCTTGCTCATATTGTGAAGGAAAACATGGTGAACCATGAACCAGCACCCTGAAATCGATCGCGTGCGTCAGGGACTGAACGTAGATCATCTACTGGTACTTGCATATGAAACCTCATTATTCTTTTTTTATCAAGAAAAAAAGCACATATTTGAGGCCAAAAGGGTCAAATCCTCTAAATTACTTTAAGAAGTTCAGTGTTTATATAATATCTATCATTTATAACCTCAACATTTGTTTATATAATCTAAGAAAAAACAAATAAGAAAAACTGTTTTTTCTATTACTATTAAATATTCGTATTATATTATGTAAACATGAGAAAACTACGTATATAAATAACAAAAATAAGAAAAAGTATTGCATAATGCCAATATTATAAAAATGTTTTATTAAAAACTATAAAAATGTAATTCTATACTTTTCCCATAAACAAATTACAATTTTCAATTTACTTAAAGTCTTTAAAACGTACCTATTATATTGTAATGTAGGAAAATTGTGATCTTTCAATGTGATTGAGTTTAATATTATTCTCTACAACGTCGAGAGCTTTCAATTTAATTATTTGGGGACATAATAGCGATGACGCGAGCTCGCTTCAAAGATAGAATGAAATTCATGAAATTAAATAACTTCTCTTCAATTTGTTTTAACATTATGGAAATTCTTATTAAACATTTTTATGAAGAAGTAAAAAACACTTCTAAATAAGGTTGGAATGCATGAATCGAATTATACACCATCGAATTTCTATACATGTTTCAATAATCAAATTCAGAGCAATCTAAATGCGATATAGATAATATAATAAAATAAAATTGCGATGCGAATTCGTGAGAAAATTTAAATAAATGACTTTTCTGTTTGCACATAAAAAGAAATATATTGCGGCACAATGAATGTTAGGGGTGGTATGGGGGTAAGGGGGCAGTCGCGGGCGGTCGAGAGACGGCGACGTAGGGGTGGGGTTGGGGGCAGCGGAGAGAGGGACAGGGAACAGGGGGCCCGGGGGGTGACCCACTTTAACAGGACAAGTAATATTACTTTTTACTTTTAGGTAACTATTTCACATTTTTATCAAGATAATAATATAATATTGTATTTCGAATAAGGAAAATGTTTATTAAAAAAAATAAAAATTATGGATATTCAGATTCTATACCTAATTACTTCCAAAACTAATAATATCGTAGTTTCAATTACTTTTTTTTTTTAATAATTATTTCAACTTGTAAAAAAAATATTCTGCAAAGAAGGATCGGATTTTTTCCGGTTGTGAATACAAAAGTCAAAAGAGGGGTAGAAAAGATTTTCGTTTACTAACATATGATAGATAGTAGCTATTTAAATCCTAATAAGTTCCTTATTTAAAATTAATGATTTATATTTTTCAATTATTCTTATGCATACCTCACGTAAGCTCCCGTTATTAAATGTTATCTACTTATTTTAATCAGAGTTAATTATGTAATAAAATAATGTAACAAAAATATTCGAAATGGAGAGAAACATATATAAATACAGGTATTATACACACATTTGTGATGTCATTGTAAAATGAATTAAATAATTAAAAAAGTGTAATTAATGTATATAGTATGGAGAATATTATAACCGTTACTAAGGAAATCGGATATTATAAGGTCTTTTCTGATTTTTTAAATAATAATAATTGTTTAGCTCAGCCCAACAAAAGTCGGCACCTTTTCGCTATGGCAGCGCTAAATTATTGCAAGATACATACACTACATTATTTTATTATTATTACATAATAATATAATTAAAATACTAGACTGCCCCATCAATTTTATGATTTTTATTTTTATATAAAGGTTAACTGTCACTGAAAATTAGTGTTGACATCGTGCTTGCTTTATTCACAACTACAAGCAAATATAACAAGCAGCAAATGATAGAAGAACCGGGATAACGTGAACATAAATTAAAAACAAAATAAAAAATTAGACGTTGCATTGCAAACCTCCTTCGGGTTTTACGAAGTCGAATACCAATAAGTAACATTTAAATTATTTATTTTTGAGTAGATAGCAACTAAAAATTTCTCCCGACAATCTATAATTCGAATACATAGGCATAAAAAATAATACACATTATGTTTTGTTTTCTACACCTGGTGGTGCGGTAGAACCAAGGAACACCAGAACAGGAATTAAATTCGAATGTAAGAAGGGAAGATATTAAAGATTATATAAGAAATAATCAACATAGAAACATTTGATCTACTACAATTTAATAAATTAATCTGAGGAATCCAAATTACTAAGATTAATTACTAATTAAACTCTCCCAAAACTTCTTCACGTTCTCGTATTTTGTATGGTTTTAATGAGGTATATAATTTCTCACCTAAACTTATGCATTCTCTAATGATTCAGTGAATATAAAAGTGTATTAAAATTTGAAATATTTAGTTTAATACCATCTATGCTTGTAACATATATCAAGTTATTACTAACACCGAATTTATAACTTTTATTGCTTTGAGTAATTGCATATGTATCTCTCGTAAGTTCTTATAGGACGCCTGAAGCTCTGTCATTAGATTCTGATAACAATTTAACTTATAGGAAAACTTTGTTAGCCAATGCTTGATAAATTTCGAAAACTTGGTCATTTAAAAAATATATTTTAACTTATACAGGCAAGCGTAACGTTTGGTAATATAATATTAAAATATAATATGGAATAAAGTAAAAATATAATTAAGGAATAAGTGTGTTTAGAGTGTAAAGTATCTTTATGAAAAATTAGGTGAACATGAATAAAATAGGATCCAAGTCTTAATTGAAATAAATTATAGGTATCTACTGATAGAGCTTTGTAGAAATTTAACGCGGGAAACATCTCACGCAACGTAAGGACGAAAATTAAAGAAGTGAATGTAAATATTCTATGAATAAAGATAAGATTTTATATAGAACTTCTAATCTGACGGGCGGCGTTCCAACTGCGATCTATCCACCCACGTGTTACTTTAGTTACCTAAGGGATGTTATTATAAACAATTTGAAAGGATATTCATATACTTAAGCAATTTTAGAAATGAAACGAAGACGAGTGCTCGTTTATAAGCGTGATTTAACAACTCCAGCATATTGATTTTTACGTCGCCGTGGGCCACCCCTCCCCGCGGGAAGAGTTGTGCACGGGGGTAATGCTAAAATGCTTGTTCCCCTATTTGAGAGTACATGCTGGAGGGACTTCGAGTGGCGTCTTTAATATAAACACATTTTTCGATATTTTCATTTAATTTTTTTTCTTATCATGTCATGTTTGCGTAAGATTTACGACCGGAAGTCAACGCGAATGTGACACACTTTCTATTTAAGTCTTATCATAGTAACTACACTGTTATCATTCGCAGCTTTACATGACAGTTTAAAGTTGGCATTTGTATTTAATTAGCGTTCGTGTACAAAAACTTGTATATTACAACGAATGAAGAAATTGTCTATGCCTAAATTGATAAGTTTTAACGTGGAGTTAAGTTATTTGGCAATTTCGCTATTACTTATTCTTAACATATCTTAATATATACATTTTAAGATTCAATCATGATTTTTCTAATTATACGCTAAAATGGCCGAGTACTAGTTATAAAGTATTAAATTTTAATATTTTTTAATATAAAACGCGAGACGTCAATTGTATGTCCCCGCGAGTTTGTTCAGCCCCACCCGCGCACTTTTCAGTGGGTTGCCCGCGCCGCACCCTTCGCTGCACCCCATGTGTTATTCTCCGCTCCGTCCCGCGGCGGGACGCTCCTTCATTTCACTCCAATTTACTACTGAAAAAATTTAACTAAATTTAATATCAATTTAAGGGTTACATAACAGAGTACAAAAAATATACATTATATTGATGACCAATTAGTCTACCCTTAAGGTTCTAATTAGATTATCCTATTGCTTTATGTATATTAAGAAAGAGCAATTTTTACTTATTAATTTTATTTAAATTGAATGGTATCTAAGTGAATAGGTAAAATGATTTCGAAATGGGTACACTTGTAATATATTAAAATTTCAGAAATGTGCTTTTGAACTCATAATCCTCTATTTGCATATATATGTTGTAGATTATATCTCTCTACAAATATAATAGATATATATCCATTATAATCGGCATAAAAAAGTAATAGAATTGAGGGACGCATATGATTACGTAATATAAAAATAATAAGTTGCGGGTGAAGTATTAAGTAAGTATTTTTTGTTCCAAAAGACATTCAAAAATTTCAATTCAGTTGATGCGTACTTATGCACATAAATTAACATTGTATAGCATACAGTTTTTGTCTAGAAATATAGCTAAGTTATTAAAATATTTACATTTATACCACACCACAATTTATAAAAGCTATTTTAATGTAAATACATATCTTCTAATTTAGATTGGATAAATCAATAAAGAATTTAATACTTGTTGAATTTACATTTTTAATAATCTTTCATGAAAAATTTAAACCTTTTTGTTTACAAAATATTGTTATTAAAAAAGTTGGAAGGATAAATCTACGACCAAATTTGGTAACAATGTTATTTAAGAGGCTAATAAAATATAAAAGGGCGCGACCCCAACTTGACTGCGATTCAATCGAGAGCTTTGAAAGCTTTTTTGTTATGTAATTAGCTTTGTATATGTGAGACTAGCTAATATCCTTGAGTTTATCTACATAGTGAAATAATTTCATATTTATTAAAAAGCCTCTACGAAAAAACGTCAAGTTAAGCAAAATGCCATGAAGCTACTAAACTCGAACTATAACTAATAACTAACATACATATATATATATAAGATAGAATGGCTCCTATCTGTTTTACTTTACACAAACATAGTCAGCGCAATTCCGCTTTAAAAAATTTAACGCGTCTAGGATTTGGGTGATATGGTA